ATAGAAGTTATATATACACAAATCAAATGATATTGTTCAGAAGATAAATGAAAGATCTATAGTTTAAACAATCCACTTTAGAGAACAAAACTCTACCAGAATCATCCACCTGAATTATAAATCTCTACTACCTTAAAACTGTTGATCTTATCTAATTATTATTAATTTCGTGATAATTAATCTCAACAATGTTTAATCCGGATTAGCTTACATCAGATTCTAAAAACAATGATTACTTTTCTTTCTCCCAAATGTAAAATCATTGTTAGATAAATATTTATCTACAGTTAGAAATTACTTAACTACTCCCATTTCACTGACATCTAATATACAATAATGGATTAGTAGCTTAGTACTTAGAAAAATTTAAATTACTAAATCTTATGAGTTTTTGTTCTTTTATTCAAATTGAAATAGTCATGACTTAGAGATTGAATATTATTCGTTAAGAGTCAAAGTCAACTAAAACATATTTTTTTAATAGTTAAGATTATGAGTCAATTGAAGTTAGACTGGAAGACTGTTTCGTTCTAGTGTGGGACTCCTCAGCAATACGCATCCACGATTCTGCTTTGCAAGATTCGAACCTAGGGCTTATCGGTTTCGCGCGCAAACACTTAACTTCTAGACCACTGTTAAGGCATCCAATGGTGTTAATGTCTAACTTCAATCGATTCATGAATGGTTGCTCAACCGTTTATCCATTGTCTGAAGTAGATAAATGTCTCTACCCGACACGAATTAGACTCCACTGTTAAGGGTCCTCACTAAGACTTCAGGAAATCATCTTGAAACCAGTCAATAGCGAGCATGTGGTAATTATGATCAGAATGGAGTTTTGTGGAGATTGTAATGATTTTAATAGTTAAATTCACGAATCAATGTAAGCTAGACTCATGAATTTAACCATAATAAACGATAATTGTCAGCAGTTACTGCATAATAATAGCATATTTATCATTATATATTACTGTTTGTGATGAATTTATTAATCTGAATTAATAATTTAATTAGATTAAGATGTAAGGTTGTGAAAATTATTGATTACCATTTTTTTCAACTTTATTTGATGTATATATTATTGATATCGGGTTCGAATCTCGCAAGGCGGGATCGTTGATGCGCACTGCTGAGGAGCCCCACAATAGAACGAAACGGCCGTCCAGTGCTTCCATGTTTTCCATGGTGGTCTAGTTTCACTTGGCTCATGATCTCAACTATTAAAAAATTACTATAATATCCACAAAACCCCCTTGGATATTAAAACATATTTGTCAACTGCTCTCAAATAATTTTCACTGGTTATCCACATAGCACAATATCATCAATTACGTTTGTAATCCGCTTATTGTGTTGATGAATAGGGTGTTTAGAAATAAAAAAAAAAGAAACATGAGTCACCAATGGAATTCAACAGTCGTTTCGCTATATCACAAATTTATCATTCAATGTCAACCCATTAGTTCTAATGATTGAACTTTTGTTATGAGGCTTAAGGGTTTTGCATTCGGTCGTTGATGGAGTGGAGGTTGTTAATACGCACAAATAAGTATTCTCATACTTGAATGAAATGAATGTCCAGTATTTCCTAGTTTCTAATAATATCCTAGCTTAAGTCAATCTATGGCGAATATCATTTGTAAATATTTAATGTCATTAGTCATAATTATTTGACCACTTCAAAATTCTACTATGTATAATTTTAAAGATTAAGCAATTGTATAAATGAAAATGAATATTCTGTTAATTATTATTATTATTATAATATATACAAATAAAAAAGATGAACAATTAAGTTGACATTTAATACCAAAAAAAAAGAAACGAGAGAGAGGCTTTCTTGTCTTAGATCCTTTGTACTTCAATTATTTATTCATATTTAAATGATTATTATTCGTAATATTTCATTATAGATTCTAATTATAGAAGTATTTCTCTTTACATTGTATTTCTTTTTAAATGAATTAATAGTTAAACAATTTCATGAAAATATTATTACATAAATATGATTCACTAATATGATATAAATTAACTTTTATAATGTATTATTATTATTATTATTATTATTATTATTATTATTATTATTATTATTATTATTATTATTACATTACCGATATTTGCATGATAATACAGTAAATGAAAGTTTGAAATATAGTTCGTACATGTTGTAATAAACACTAGTCTAAACAAAGCCTGAGACAAAATTAACATCACTATACATGATATATGTATAGGACAATCTATTTAGGTATATATATATATATATATATATATATATATATATATATATATATATATATATATATATATATATATATATATATATATATATATATATATATATAGAGAGAGAGAGAGAGAGAGAGAGAGAGAGTGAGGTAGTCGATCAGCCCTACTGGGTTGGTGTCTGACGAAATCTCAGCACGGATTCGAAAAGTTCGTTTGGCTTTCGCCAACTTACGTCACCTATGGCGAAGGCGAGATATCCGTCTATCAATTAAGGGACGAATATACTGCGTGGCAGTTTGTTCCGTTCTACTATACGGCTGCAAAACATGGCCTTTAAGAGTAGAAGATACTCGTAAGTTACTAGTGTTTGATCACAGATGCCTTAGAAATATTGCTGGTATCTGCTGCGATCACTGAGTAAGTAATAGTGAGGTTAGACGCAGGGTATTAAGGAATGATGGTAAATCAGTTGATGAGGTTATGAATCTTCATCGACTGAGATGGTTGGGCCATGTGTTGCGTATGCCTGAACACCGATTACCACGACGCGCAATGCTAACCGGTGTTGGTGATGGTTGGAAAAAAGTTAAGGGCGGCCGAACCAAAACGTGGCATCAGTTCATAAAGTCACTAACTTCTTGTCTGAGCGATGTTGGTAGATGAAGACTACCTGGTTTGGGGTCCGCGTGACAATCGTAACTAATGGTTGGAGACTCTTGGTGACATGGCTCAGAATCGACCACAATGGCGTCAGTGTATACACTCTCTGTCTTCCATTAAACTATGAGACTAAAATCGCTTCATATCTTTCTTTCTACGAACTAATTCTTTCTTCCTGTACTATCTCCATATACACAATCTTTCTTCTATATATTACCATCACTGAATTAACTACTTCTATGAATCCGGTGTTCATCTTGCTTTGTTAATGAGGTGTGGCAAATTGGACCTTTGCATTCATGTGCCTGGTCCTACGTTGTAACTGACTGATATATATATATATACGCACAAATACAAAAGAAAATTCATCGATTAATGTGAATTGATGAAAAAATATGTAATTTATTTGTGGTGGTCGTGGTGATGCTACGCTTTTTACTGAATTCTGTGGTTACTCAATTGGAAAGTTATTCTGTATAATGTAATCACCGTTTATACTTCATGTATAAGTTGAATTGTATTATTTAGTCATAATAGATAAAGGCTGTGGTTATCTGAAAGTTTCCTTTTGTAATTTAGATCTTATCATTGACTTGTAATATCAAATAACATATTTGTACTAAGTAATATAACCAATGATTTAGTTATCAGGACACTTGAATATCATGAACAGCTACATGCTCCTCTAATATCGCTTCATTTACTTTATGATTTCGCTTACATTATTAGCTTATAAACTTCAAAGCACTAATCTATGCGCTTAGTTAGTCATAAATATTGTAATTCATCTGACAAGTAGTGAGTTATGTGCTTGGTTAGTATTACTACCTAGGCGCCTTGAGAGGTCGAACCGGTGACCTACTAATCGACAAATGCTAAAAAGTTCAACTACTAACCAATCGAATCATATTTCAATATTGAGTAGTTACATTATTATGATCATAATAAAAGAGAACAGAAAGTAATGAGTGTTGACATTCTATTCAGTGTTTGATTATTACATTTATGTTCATGATATCTGAAATCTTTTGATTTGACCATGTTAAATGTAACTACAGTATTAATTGTATTCATATTTAACAAATGAAATGTATAATATATATTAGGCTATTCTCAAAATTACTGTGATGATGATAAAGTTTAATGTATGATTTTCTTACTGAAATGACTTTTATAATCTGAAGTAAACTAGTTTTTATGTTGACAACATTCTCCTGACCTAATTTTGAGTTCAGTTCATTTTATAAAATCAATTGATCTGAGTAGTTCACTTCCTAATTCTCATGTTTATCATGATTTAAGCAACTAATGAATTTAATCATTCCCTTAAATTAACATTTATGTAGATCATAACGTTTACATAAATTTCCATTCGGTTAGTTAAATTTTTTTTTGTTTATTGGCCTGCATCACCCAACATTTGGTAAGATGTTTTTTTTATCTATAAAGAATGGTCATAGAAATATAAACAATCTTAAATTTGTAGTATTGATTCAAGTTATGTAACACTTTACATAAGTACAGTGAGAGATAATCAATAAAAGGGAATGGTAGGAGTGAAATGAAAATATTATTTAATATTTAGATAGTTTAATACTATAAAACTCAGCAGCAATTTGGAAGACTCTCCCAGTCTCCCACATTATACGAGCATTCCATAAACCTAAATAAATGGTTGCTCTTGTTGTCAGAAGGAGCATCGGCCTCGTGACTTCCGAAGGGACTCGGCTTTCATCATGAGCCGTCATAACTCTTCTAAATGAAGACCTGACTCCCAGGGTAGAGTTTAAATGGTTTAAATAATTTTTTCTGGTTAGCGTTTTTTATAGCGAGTTAGTTTTCTACGGGATGAGGTCGCTAACCCCATGCCCAACCCCCCTCCTTTATCCGGGCTTGGGACCGGCAGTAGCCCCCAAAGGGACTCCATATTTATTTGGTAACGTGATGATTACAAATTTGAACCTTGTTCCACTTACCTTAGTTTTTGTGATAGACTAATACTAAATGAATAAATGAAAGTTAATCGTACAAAGTTTATACTTAATTATTGGATTATTCTGACAAAACAGAAACACAAATTAATTTACTGTGATAATTTCTTTTGATTACAGAAATTTTTCATGCGACATACAGCTGCCAGATTACGAAATTCTGAAATTGGATCTACAGTTTCTGAATCAATATGTCCAATGGGTGGTAGATGTCGTGTTGAAGGTCCCGGTCGAGGTAAATGCCCACATTGTCGTTATCGAAAATGTTTAGAATTGGGAATGACTTTAACACGTAAGTTTTTTCCTTTTTACACTTACATTTACATATATAAATTGTACTTGTTTCATGTATTATATAAGTACTGTTTGAATAAAGTAAGTACTGTTATAGGTCTATAGAAGATATTCATACTTAGGTAATATTTGATCACAAATGCCCTCGAAACATTGTTCGTATATTTTGGAATCGCTAAGTGACTAATGATAAAGTAAAACTCACAGTGCTAAGTAAGTCTAGTAAATTAGTTGCAGGGGCAGTGAAGCTTGGTTACAATGAATCAAGTGTATTTGCTTTTTGTCTTCCCTTTGATATTAAGCTTTAAAATTATCATAGATATATTTTTTATTGTACGAATTCATTCTTTCTTCATGAGTCTAATCTTTTTTTACTACCTTTGATACTGCTATTACTTTTGCTACTCTGAGATTTATCTTGGTAATTTCATTTTATTATTCTGATATGTTGTAACAACCTGAACTGTTGCACATGTGTGGCAGATTCTACGCAGATTATAAATGACTGACTAGGATAGTCTATCCTTAACCATTAGAAAATGAACTATAGAATTTTAACGTGGTTATGTTTTATTCTAAGGTTGTTCATTTTAATTTAGAAACCAAATTCTAATCAAGAAACTACTCCACGCATTTTTTCTAAGTCTTAAACGAATAATAACATACTGTATACTTCAAGTAATTAATTTCATATGTATTGTAGTATGCCCATTCAACTACTGTATTATTTATCTGCTCACTCTAATTTAGACACTTGAACCACCATGTAATTTTCTGTGTGAATCTGATTGAGCACATGTCTGCACATCAATTTTTAATCTATTCTTCCATTGATTATAATACACGACAATCAATAATTTATCCATGTTTGATTAACGTTCATAAATATATATGGATTTTTAACACACACACACACACAATTGATTTCCCTGTGTGCTTGCTTCCTGTACGCTTGCGGGGTTTTACCAATCTTTAATAATAAACTATCTCTATAACTGGTGTTCAGGCTTTTAAATAATCTCGAGTAAATCTATGATTCTACTAGGAGATTTAGCTTGCATTTAATACTCAATTAACGGGATACTATTAATTGGAGTCAGATATAGGGAAAATTACTTACTTACGCCTGTTCTGCCAATGGAGCATAGGCCGCCGACCAGCATTCTCCAACCCACACTGTCCTGGACCTTCTTTTCTAGTTCTATCCAATTCTTGTTCGTTCTTCTCATATCTGACTACATTTCTCGGTATGATGTGTTCTTTGGTCTTCTCGTTCGGCCTCGAGGATTCCATGTAAGGACTTGCGTTGTGACTCAGTTGGGTGCTCTCCTCAATTTGTGTCTTATCCACTTCCAGCGATTCTTCCTGATTTCTTCTTCCACCGGAATCTGGTTTGTTCTCTCCCACAGTAGGTTGTTGCTGATAGTGTCTGCCAAACGGATCCGAGGTATTTTGAGTCGACAACTATTAATAAACACTTGTATCTTCTGGATGATGGCTTTCGTAGTTCTCCAGGTTTCCACCCTATACAGTAGAACTGTCTTGACATTTGTATTGAAAATTCTGACATTGGTGTTGGTTGACAGTTGTTTTGAATCCCAGATGTTCTTCAATTGTAAATATGCTGCACTTGCTTAGCCGATCCGCGCCTTCACATCTGCATCAGATCAACTGTGTTCATCGATGATGCTGTCCAGATATGTAAAGGTTTTTACATCTTCCAAATCTTCTCCGTCAAGTGTGATTCGATTGTTGCATGCTGTGTTTTATGGGAGAATCTTGCTTTTCCGTTTGTGTATGGTGAAACCTACTGCTGCTGCTACATAGGGGAAATCGGCCTCTACGATATATATAATAAGCATGATGAAAGTCTGTTTTATCGACTTCTATATTGTAATTTTAACACTATTATTATTACTATCCAGAATATAAAATGTATGATTTAAAACTGCGTACACAAATTGTACACCTAGTGAATGAGTTTTAAATATATGGAAAGTGTAATTTTTTCGACTTATATTATAGTTATTCATACAATTTGTTCCTATAACTTCTCATTATTGTATTCTTGTTTCCTTTTTCTTTCTTTTTCTCAATATTCATTTATTTTCTCAAGTAAGGAAGCGATAAAATTGAACTGTAATTACATAGAGTTTTGTAATTATAGCACACTTTGATCTTAATTCTTTATATGTAATTCTATTTAATATGATTCTTCAATGTTTCCATTTTAGTTCGAAAATTTTTTCTTTTATCGATATAGAGATTTGTGGAGATTGTAGTACTTTCGCAGTTGAATTCACTAGTCTATCTATGCTAGACCATCACTGAAAACCTAGAGGTACTAGAAAGTAGTTTCTTTATAGTGTGGGACTTTTCAGAAGTGCTAATTCACGACATTAACATCGTTGGATGCCAGTTAAGGGGGTCTAGAAGTTAAGTGTTCGCGAGTAAGACCGAAGGTCTTGGGTTTGAGTCCCACATGTGGGATCGTGGATGTGCACTGCAGAGGAGTTCCATATAAGGACGAAACGGCTGTTTAGTGGTTCCGGATTTTAAATGGTTGTCTAGCTTAGATCGACTCGTGAATTCAACAGTAAAAAATTTTAAACTATAGATTATTATTATTGTTTCGATTAACTGTCTCTCTGATTTCTCACCTCGATATGTATTGTAAAAGTGGATGACTTACAAAGAACATTGTCGATACTCCTTAGTTTACCTCGAGTGAAATCAATTGACAGCAATATAAAAGCTTTATCTTGGCTACCTATTGAGAAATCAACTTACCAAACTGTCTATTTATAAGAATATGTGTATATTATCCTGTTATTGATAATCAGAATTGAGTGTTGATTAGTTTTTGATAACAATTTGCGTACATCCTAAGCGGACACGTTCACTTTAGTTCTTATTCATATCTTAAAAATGTAGAAATATGATTGTATTTATGATCGATTTCTATTCATTTATGATTATTAATCCTATAGGAATAATATTTTACGTTATGTATCCTTCGTTTAGTTATATTGAGTTTATATTAATCATTTACATCCAGTGCATCAGGATTATAAGTTAAAAGAAACCTCTTGTTGGTGTTGTGTCCGAGGAAGATTTAATCATGGGTAACTTCTGGAAACTATTTATGGGCTATTATATATATATATATATATTCTTAACTATTAAGTAACTAGATTATATATATTGATATTTCTCTTATTAAAAGCTTTCATTTGATCTATTGGCTACTATTATACAATTTACTCTCACACTCATAGACACTTTTGGCTTGATCTTGTATAATAATTATTTCTCATTTTATGGTGTGATGCGGTCTGGTTTGTTTGTATATAAACCAAATATGTCTGAAATATATGATTCATAAATCGGAGTTTGATATTTGTGTTCTGAACTGAACTGGGTTGGGTTAGACGAGAAGTTACTATCTCAGAGGACTATTATTAATAAAACTTTTATATAGTATTTTCTCTTATTAACCTTTAATATACATGTATATTTTAATATTACTGATCCAGGTATAGTTAGTCAATACTATCTGAATCAAATAATTAATAACTTTAATGAATTAATCTTAATCTAAACAAAATAATTATATTTTAAATCAATATCATATATTAAGAGAGAGTGAGAGTGAGAGACAGAGATAACATAGATGTATTCATAGTCAATTGGGTTATATTTTTATCCCTTAAGTTGTTGCCCCTTCCATCTAAACAAGTTGGTGAAGCCTATTAGGCCTTTCTGGAGAGAAATAGGCCACATCGAAGCACGGCACAACTACCGGGGCTAGAATAGCTGCTTTTGCAATCCGGTGTAGTTTGCCCTATGACGAACAACTCCGTATTTTACATGCACCATTTTCGAAATTTTTTGTCGTTTTCCAATCCCAATGCCATGTTTCTCCGTGGTTTTCGTAATCAGATTGTGGGTATCGGTAAGAGTGGGTGATTAACTCAATCTCCACCACCCGGGTTACCGCTCACGTTAGTTCCTGAGTCATTCTTCCCACTATCCAGGAGGTACGACGCGGACGTGTGAGTCGGATTTCGCCTCCCATCCCTTAAGTATTTTTTCCTCTTTTTTATTTAAAAAAATCTAGTTAACCCTACTGTTAAAAGTAATCAACACATCTCCTATTCCTTAGTCGGTCAGTTACAACGTAGGACCAGGCACATGAATGCAACGGTTCAAGTTGCCACACCTCATTAACAAAGCAAGATGAACACCGGATTCATAGAAGCAGTTAACTCAGTGGTGTAATATATAAAGGAAAGATTGCATATAAGGAGATAGTACAGGAAGAAAGAATTAGTTCGTAGAAAGAAAGATATGAAGCGATTTTAGTCTCATAGTTTAATGGAAGACAGAGAGTGTATACACTGACGCCATTGTGGTCGATTCTGAGCCATGTCACCAAGAGTCTCCAACCATTAGTTACGATTGTCACGCGGACCCCAACCAAATAGGCTGGATCTACCAACATCGCTCAGACCAGTAGTTAGTGAATTCACGCACTGATGCCATGTTTTGATTTGGCAGCCCCTGGCTTCCTTCCAACTATTCCCAACACTAGTCAGCATTGCGTTCTTATTCTTTAATTATATATTAATTAATTACTCATTCTTAATTGTATTTTACAGATTTTTTTCTAAAGAAATAAATTAAATAATGATCCTTTTGTTATGAAAACAAAAAGACCACAACAACATAGAATTATAAAGAATTAAGAAATTCTTTACCTAAGCATCCATATGAACTATGTATATGAAGTGGTTACTTATACCTTAAAAATTCTATTGTGATTAAAAAGAGTAAAGATAGTAATGTTTCATTCTGTGCCCCACTCTCCATCCAACCCTGTCCTGGGCAATCCTTTCCAGCTCTTTCCAGTTGTTGTTCATCCTTTTCATATCTAATTCTATTTCCCGACGTATTGAGTTCATTGACCTTTCACTTTTCCGCTTTCCTTCAGCATTC